CAGTCCAAACCTACTGAAACCAGGGCATCCTTACCCAGCAGTAAGACTACCTATACTCCCAGTCCAAACCTACTGAAACCAGGGCATCCTTACCCAGATGTTAGACTACCTATACTCCCAGTCCAAACCCAATGAAACCAGGGCATCCTTACCCAGTAGTTAGGCTACCTATACTCCCAGTCCAAACCTACTGAATCCAGGGCATCCTTACCCAGCTGTTAGACTACCTATACTCCCAGTCCAAACCTACTGAAACCAGGGCATCCTTACCCAGATGTTAGACTACCTATACTCCCAGTCCAAACCCACTGAAACCAGGGCATCCTTACCCAGATGTTAGACTACCTATACTCCCAGTCCAAACCTACTGAAACCAGGGCATCCTTACCCAGATGTTAGACTACCTATACTCCCAGTCCAAACCCACTGAAACCAGGGCATCCTTACCCAGATGTTAGACTACCTATACTCCAAGTCCAAACCCACTGATCCTTACAGGGCATCCTTACCCAGATGTTAGACTACCTATACTCCCAGTCCAAACCTACTGAAACCAGGGCATCCTTACCCAGATGTTAGACTACCTATACTCCCAGTCCAAACCCACTGAAACCAGGGCATCCTTACCCAGATGTTAGACTACCTATACTCCCAAGTCCAAACCCACTGAAACCAGGGCATCCTTACCCAGATGTTAGACTACCTAATTCCCAATCCAAACCCACTGAAACCAGGGCATCCTTACCCAGATGTTAGACTACCTATACTCCCAGTCCAAACCCACTGAAACCAGGGCATCCTTACCCAGATGTTAGACTACCTAATTCCCAATCCAAACCCACTGAAACCAGGGCATCCTTACCCAGATGTTAGACTACCTATACTCCCAGTCCAAACCCACTGACCCCAGGGCATCCTTACCCAGATGTTAGACTACCTATACTCCCAGTCCAAACCTACTGAAACCAGGGCATCCTTACCCAGATGTTAGACTACCTATACTCCCAGTCCAAACCTACTGAAACCAGGGCATCCTTACCCAGATGTTAGACTACCTATACTCCAAGTCCAAACCCACTGAAACCAGGGCATCCTTACCCAGATGTTAGACTACCCATACTCCCACTCCAAACCCACTGAAACCAGGGCATCCTTACCCAGATGTTAGACTACCTATACTCCCAGTCCAAACCCACTGAAACCAGGGCATCCTTACCCAGATGTTAGACTACCTATACTCCCAGTCCAAACCCACTGAAACCAGGGCATCCTTACCCAGATGTTAGACTACCTATACTCCCAGTCCAAACCTACTGAAACCAGGGCATCCTTACCCAGATGTTAGACTACCCATACTCCCACTCCAAACAGACTGAAACCAGGGCATCCTTGCAGTAGTTACTGTCCAAACCACTGGGGCATCCTTACCCAGTCCCAGTTATACTCCCAGTCCAAACCTACTGAGACTACTACCTATACCAAACCCATACCCCACTCCAAACAGTCCAGACCCAGTAGTTAGACTACCTATACTCCCAGTCCAAACCCACTGAAACCAGGGAATCCAATAAGACTATCTTGTAACACAGGATGGAAATATTACGTTTTTGTAACTGTTCATAAGAATTACTATATCTGGCATATGATAAGATTCTACATGAACATGATGCTGAATAAAGCTTTTGTTGCCATGATGATAACATGGCAAATACATACTAGGATTCAAGTGGGAACACATGGTTAGCATTCAGTCCAAGTGTCTGACCCACAGTAGCTGGGTTATCCACTATATTACAGAGTGTATCCACAGACTGGTTTTCAAATGCCCCAGTGACTGGAAGTGTGATCTAGGTTTATTGGCCAAGAACCTGATTCTCTTATGGTTATGGTGTGGGTGTGAAGGAGGGGGCTAGAATAGTTTAGAGGAAACTTAATATTCGATTTTTGTCATGAAATAATATAGAAAAAAAATCATTCACCGGACATGCTGGAAGTTCTGAAATAACACTGTGTTAGGTTATTCTTTCAGAGAAGATTATTGTACCAGTATGTCTTTAACCATTACAAAACACTTCTCCAACAAAAACACCCAGCCCCTCGTGATAATGAACACAACAACAGACACTGTACTTCCACTTTGCACATAAAAATATAACATACATTGTGCAAAAGTTTCCTCTTGCCTGCCTTTCACTATTTCTATATTACATCATTTAGTAACAAGGCTGTAAACCTTGTAATGACAACCCAGCAACAATCTTCACTTAACTGGTTGCTGCGCATACACAGCACCTATCATTGCTACCCATGAAATGGTCTAGTTGTAAAACACATTCTTAATGTACATATTTGCAAACTTAATGTAAATAAGACCCATGAAGGTCCAGGTTAGAATATTGATCTTCAGAAACCCATGCTTGTCATAAGAGGCCGACTAACGGGATTGGGTGGTCAGACTCACTGACTTGGTTGACACGTCATCGGTTCCCAGTTGCACAGATCGATGCTTATGCTGTTGATCACTGGATTGTCTGGTCCAGACTCGATTATTTACAGACCGCCACCATATAGCTGGAATATTGCTGAGTGCGGCGTAAAACTAAACTCACTCACTCACTAATGTAAATAAGTGATGAAGATGGTGAATTAAAAGTTGAGGTAATCCGTGGGAGCAATCTTGATGAAAATCATCTCTAATAACCCAGTTGTAGAGATCAAGCTTACAAGACAACAAGTATATCAGTCGATGAATTCTTATGCCATTTTTACCCATGTCCCTGCCAAGAGTAGGGTCCCACTGTATACCAAGGTGAGCTACTGAGCAACTCTACATTATACAATGCTATGTTAATATCTCTAGATTGAAGTTGATGTACAAGATTTGTCTTGTGCTGGTGTCAGTACTTTAATGGGTAACCCAATGTCTACTCCATCACCTCTACAGACTACAACAGCTAACAGTGGTTGGTCTAACAAGTCATATGACAACCGTGAGGTAAGGACTGGAACCAATCACTGCTCTTCCCTCATAACACATCATGATGTGTACAACATAGGACAAGCTCAAAAATATTTGGTGAAGTTTTCCAAACTGAAACATGCATTCATGTAGCAAGTAGTAGAATACCTGGGTACCAAGAAGTGATTAGTGCTAAACACTCACTGTGAAGCATTAGCTCAACCATCTGACTTTAATTAAGTAAGCTTAGGTTTGAAGATAGAGCACATGCACACAATCTTGGCCATACCAGGTGCTGTCTCGACAACATCTGCCAATGGTTAAACTTGGCAACAATCTGTCTACCCGATGAAAACAAATATTTGACCCTTATTTCTCAACATATTTTCCATTAAGTGCTAGATAAAGGCAAATGGACGGATGCATATAGACACTTGTAATGAAAATATAACAAATCTCAAAGATGAATTATTCAGCCCCATCCCACAGTAAAGATCTGTACATAGATACCAGACATTTTAACACAACTTCATCAGACATCAGGAACATAGTCCAAGAAATATATAAATATCTAACTAGTGTATGGAACCCATGAACCTCAAAAACATGTTCAGTTCTAGTGATTGATGTATTGAAATTCTTAAAATTTTGTACATGAAAATATTACAACAATTCATGAACTGCAACAGTTAACAGTTGAAAGCAATATACACAGCCAGAAAAGAACTGAGACCTTGTAGATTTTAAGGACGAACACTTTTTAAGGATATTATAAAAGTGTTCCTCTTCATTACACTACATGCCACATAAAGATGTTTGTAGATTTTAGTTTCATAAAATAAACCTAGACTATAGTGAATATAATTTCCCAAAAAAATTTATTTGCTCTAAAAATGTTATTTTGAAAAAAGACTAAAAACATCATTAAAGAAATTTGGTGAAACAGACAAATGGCTAGCAATAGGTTAATAAACTGTACAACCCTGAATAACCTGTAAATCTACACCTTAAAAGATGCAATCATGGAGTGATCAGTGAGATGATACTGATTATAGTTTGTTCTCTAAAGTGTTACCTGAATATGGTACAGTGTTAGTTACTGTAGGCAACAGTCAGTGTGCAGAGGATGTCACCTTAACATATCAGACAAGCATGATCATTCTTGTCACAAAGATATTTCATATGACTATATTTGTACTGCACAGATGCTTTTTGCTCAAAACAAGATGTTTATCAATCTGAACAATGTCTTAAAATCTTGAAAATTACTTATAAAGCTGTACTTCATTTAATCTAGTGGTTATCACGACTAACATGTTTGAAGAAATACTGCATTTCTGAAGTATAGACGGTAAGACAATATATTCCTATCATTACATTGCTTACAAAACAACCATAATCTTGTACAGAGTCAGCGTAGTGTCTCATAATATCATAATGACAGGGAAGTCATGCATATTCTTGTATGACTTGAATCAATGTTAGTGTTAAGGTATAGAAGTTGCAATGACCATGTCTGAGGAAAGCATGTTAGACTGACTGACTGAGTTTGGTTTTACACCGCTTTTAGCAATATTCAAGCAACATCACGGCTGGGGACACCAGAAATGGGCTTCACACATTGTACCCATGTGGGGATTCAAACCCGGGTCTTCGACATGACGAGTCAACGCTTTAACCACTAGGCTACCCCACCGCCCCGAAAGCATGTTAGACCACGTACACATTGGGCACATAAACTTACCTCCTATGAGCTGTGATAAATTATGAACAGCTCCAGAACATATCAATCATCCCCATACACACTAATGTTACACTTTCAAATGATTCCCTTACCATACATACTGGCTACTCTATCTGTTCCCTGCACATGTTCAACCTGTTTACAGCTGACAATGATATGTGAAGACTCATACAAACATGTGCTGGGCCCCGTTCCTCAAAGCGATCGTAGCGCAAAGTTGATCGTAACTCCCATACTTTAACATAGGCTTACGACTGTCGTAGCGCTACGATCGCTTTGAGGAACGGGGCCCAGGTCGTTGGGATCATGACAGTGATCATTTCATGAATCACTACAATACTCGTGATAGTTATTCAATTTCCTGAACCTGAAATGGTTTGATATTCCATACTATAATGATCTGATCACTGCACTTGTACTAGCATCAGGTAAGATTCTGTCTCAATATCCACACTGTCGACTCAAAACTTGTTCTCTCGACTTTATCAAATTCCTTCAAGTCCAACTTTGACCGTTTCATGTAAGCTCATTCTGTTAACTTAAACCTCAAACTTCACTATGTTCACCCATAGTTTTAACTGATTGTTTCATGGCTTTTACTCCTACATTCAATCCCTTCACATCCAACTCCAAGTGACGTCACAGTCTCACCCACATTCTGTATCATATTGCATCAGTTAAGCATGTTAAATACCCTTAGCTCTTTGAAACAACAGGAGTCAACTGTTTCATTAACTGTTTTCATTGTAAAGAAACATACGTTTTGGACAGGTGCATCTTCAGCAAAATTTTACTTTACACAATGTGGTAAATAAATTCATTCAACAATAATTTCTCAAGAAATCTCAACAGGACTATAGATAGCTAGATACAGATGAGTATTTTCAATAGGGTTTTGATCATTGGACCAAACAAACATTTACACTGTGGGCTTGATGAGCAATAAAGAAAAACAACTTTTTAGTTTTATTGCATCATGGTGAATAATCATCAAATAATCCACACAGGATTATTTAACACAATACTGTCAAGAAACGTTGCTCTTTTGTGTGCAAAAAATCAAAACTTGCGCCTTTTCTTAATGGCCAAACCTTTCCCAAACCAGCCTGGCACTGATGAGGCTGAGCTCAGGCGTCGCTTTGTTCGTTGAGCACACTTTTGCTTGGTTTCCTCATCCTTTACAACACTTTGCTCCCCCTTTTCCTGCTTAATATCTGAAGTCAGTGAACCCAGCCTATCCCTTTCTTCTTTCACTTTTCCTGTAGTGCTGGCCTGCCTGCTCCCTGATACAGTGTTATTTGTAGACACTGATGGTGATGACACAGACGGAGATGACCTTGGAGGCTGGGACAGGATGGGCTGAGTGTGGAAAATGGGTGGGCTAGATACAAAGGAGGGTGGGAAGCCCATCATACAATACTTCTGGAGATCACCAAATGTCTCAAAGGATGTTTCTCCAGGATTCAAGGAGGCTGCTAGAACCAGTCCTGGTGGTCCCGATGAAATGACTCCATCACAATGAGGTTGTTCACTTGTAGCTATATGAGGAGTTTGCACTAACTTGGCTGTGACACAGTGATGCGTTTTGGCCTGTGGTGATAAGTCAAGAGGATGGTCCACTGAACTTGACGTGGGTGACAAGTCCAAAGCTTGATCCTGAACACTTTCCGAATACTGAACACTGGATATGCTAGGAACTACTGTGGTTTGAGGACTCTTCTCGGGAGAGTTCTGACACTGGCAGTTGATCTGTCTACAATAACAATGATCCAGTATGACGCTCCCTGGGAGAGTGGGAACATCTACAGGAACAGGAGTCTCTCGAGGTCGGGGAGCTGGTTGTACGGACACAAGTTTGAGATCGTGGCCACCAACACCATCAGTGGCTAATACAGCACTTTGGAATGCAACTGGCACATGGAGAGATGGAATGACTTGAGGTATTAACATGTGATTAGTGTAGACACCTGAGAGTCTAAAGCACTTATCAGAATCTTGCATAGCTGCTATATTGGGGTGTTCTGCTTTCACAAGAACAGAGTCAAGCATATCACAAGATATGGAGGAGGGATTATCCACCCTGAGCAAATGTGTAGGGTCCACAGAAGCCTTGGAGTCGGCCAGCTCATCCTGCTGCAGCTGCTGGTGTCCAAGTAAGTTCTTGATAGTGGAATAATTGGACTTCTTATCTTTGGTCAGAGGCTTCCTCCTGATTACTGCTGGTTTTATATAGCCTTCAGGAATAGCAAGAATTTTCTTTGAGGTAGTTTTTAATTCCTTTTTCCGCAGTGGTGTTGAGAGGGAGAAGAGTGGATCTAATTCTCTGAAATATCAAACAGGTATCATAAATATCCATGAATATTTGCCGATACTCAAAACTAAATTTAGTCAAAATCAACCAATGTTTGCAGACACATCTCCTGAAAACCAGTTTCACCATATTTTGCCAAAGTGATATAGGCTTAACAAGATAGAAACACTGACTTGTGCATGTCTGTGATATGACATTTTCATTCATATTCTTTGATACTGGCCAAACTTCTTACCTCAAGGCTTGTCCATTACCAGCATTAATTAACTTCACAGTGACAGATTTGGTTGCTATGCAAATTAATCTGATGATAAGTAACTCTCTACAAACTCATTTTGGTTAACTCAGATCCATATTGAAGTTATTATTTGGAAATGATACTGATCTGTTGTAGACACTATTCCATTGTACACGCACAATTCTTCCTGTCTGTGACCAGTTGAGAAAACAAGCATAAACTCGGTAATTGTACAGGAAGATTACCTGTGATGAAAAAGGTTACAAGACAATATTATTATATCCTTACCGTTTGTAAGCCGGAACACTATACCCTAAACAGGATATGACCTGCTGCATGACATCATCACAGCGCCCTGAAACATTAGAGTGAGTAAGTGAATGAGTTTAGTTTTACGCCGCTTTTAGCAATATTCCAGCAATATCACGGTGGGGGACACCAGAAATGGGCTTCACACATTGTACCCATGTGGGAATCAAACCCGGATTTATGGCATGACAAGCAAACACTTTAACCACTAGACTACCCCACCGCCCCCTGAAACATTAGATGGCACAATGGTGCAGCAATATTTCAGAAGTATTCATCACACTACAAGAAGGCTAATGCATGTTTACTCTTGCAGTAGTGTTTTGACAGTAAATACACTATTGAGATACCATTGCAGAATATATACGACTGGAACAGTTTTTGGATGGAGAATGGCTACCCACACAGCTCTTCAAGCAAGGTTATTTTACTCATCAAAACAAATGGAAAATAAAATAATAACAGCTTCTGGATTTTTTATGGATGTTAATACTATCAATATTAAATTGCAGCACAAATGGTAACCATATAATATCTTTATACGCCAGCAAAACATTGCCATAGGATCAATATATATTTTGTAATGCATCAAAAATTCAATAATCTGAATCACCAATTTCGGTAATCATGGAAAAGAGTGATGCACTGATATAGTTTAATCAATTGTTACCCCTCTAACTGTACAAGTTTTAAAACTTTAAATAAAACCATAAAATATAAAGACAAATGGGAACAAAGAAACTGAGCATTTGGGGTAAACACCATTGTTTAGACATTGACAAGAGAGTAATCCTACTTTTGTAAGATAGATTACAATTTACAAACATATCACTGACACATTGCAGAGTATTTTATGCTTCCATGGTAATCATTATTGACTGGAAAACCTCCATGTCAATAACAATTGACAATGATATTCACTCTTTTTTAGGATGTTTTAATCTCACTCATGGGGCAACACATGGTAGGCATGTGACAGTGATTGAATTTATTAGTGTCACTTCACCATATACAACATACAGCACCCAAAGACCGGAGACAAATCTGTCTGGCATATACATTATATCTGTGGTTTGGTTTGTTGTTTAACGCCGCACTCAGCAATATTCCAGCTATATGCCCCTGGTCTGTAAATAATCGAGTCTAAACCACGCAATCCAGTGATCAACATCATGATCATCCATCTATGCAAACTGGGATATGATGACATGTGTCAACCAAGTCAGCGAGTGTGACCACCTCATTACGTTAGTCGCCTCTTACGACAAGTATGGGTTGCTGAACACCAATTCTAACCCAAATCTTCATGGGTACATTACTGATCGGAAAACCTCCATGTCAATATATCAATGATAATCACTCATTTTTGGGATGTTTTTATCACACTTCCTTCGCCAACACGTGGTAGGCCTGTCAATGTGCTTGAACTTGTTAGCGTCCCTTCAGCTCATACAACAGAGTGCACCCAAAAGCAAGTGACAATTCTGTCTGGCATATACACTACATCAGTGACTGATGATCAAGAGCAGCATTCGAAATACCTGATAGCCCGACCGCCCGGGACAGGTTAATTTCAACACAGACTGCCAGATTCTCAAATTCACCTGTCCGACGGTCAGGTTAAAAATTTAGACATGTATATGAAGTTAGTAATAGTTTCTTTCAATATTATTTTACAAGTTTTAATTTAATTAGGTTTTTTTGTGGGCAGATAAGTTTTGGTCAGGGCTGGCAAGTTTTACATCTAACCAGCCCTGTGGTCTGGCTGAAATTGTTTGGAGTTTGATACCCTGTCAAGAGACAACCAAGTAATGCCGAGTGAGTGCCATGTGACCTTACCATTGATCTTGAGTGTTGCAACATTGTCCTTGGGGGTCCACTGTAGGTTGACAATGTACAGCTTGGGTCGCTTCTGGACCTGGAGGTTCAGACACCACAGGCAGGAGTATTTCTTCAGAAGCTGACAACACCACAATGCATAGGCCATTAAAGTTGGGAATCATTTTAACATGTTTAAACATCATGAAAATTATCACACTGTGTCAAACATAAATTACCAACTAGTACTTGGTCAAAGTGTACTGGTGATTTTTGTGCCAGTTTGTTCTTCATTTACTTCACTTAAAAGCCTGAAGTGATGAAGATAAAGTCTTTTATCAGACATAGAGTACTAGCCCTTGGTGGTCATAATCAACAGACCGCCTCCGTGATGTAGTGGTTAGAGCGTCTGCCCAGAGAGCGGAAGGTCGCGGGTTCGATCCCCGACCGCGTCATACCAAAAGACGTTAAAATATGGTACTTGTTGGTCCCTGCCTGGCGCTCGGCATTAATGGGTACAGCAAGGACTGGTCGGCTCGGAGTCAGTATAATGTGTCTGAGTGGGGTATTCATGCTTCACTGCGGCATGGTATCTCAGTGGGCTAGCACTATAAAACCAGCTTCAGTCTGGGCTAGTACAAGCAGCCTCACATACACATACACATGCACGTCATGATATGAGCGAAATATTCTCAAGTACGACGTTAAACACAATTTCACCTCACCTCACCATAATCAACAAGCATACAGTACTGGGAGGTGAGGGGCTGTCGCTATCAACAAGCATAGAGTAATGGGGACGTCTTGATCACAATTAACAAGCATGGAGCCAATGGGGTCCCATGTGCACAAGCGACAAGCATTCAGTACTGTGGCAAAGCAAGTTTGCTGAATTACCTTGAGACTTGAGCCTAGGCAGAGAATGAGATCACAGTTGTTAGCAGCTTTGACTGCCTCCTTCCAGCGATATGGAGATTTGATTCCACCCTTCTCCCCAAAGTGGACAATAGTATCCTGCAACAGGTTATTGCACTTGTGACATTTCCGTCCTGTTCCATGGCGCCGGACACCAGTCCTCTCTGTCACATCAAACAGTCGGATGTATTCTGGATGTGGCTTGCACTCTTTACATTGCTGAAGAGGGAAGTCAAAATCAAATCTTATTTGTTGTTCTCTATACAAGTCAGAATAGACATTAACATCATTTCTATCATGACATGTTTGATTCTATAAAAAGGTAAGTGAATAACAGTAACACACATATCCATATGCCATCATGTCATCATGGATACTGTTACCTAAAACACAGAAGGTAAACGTGGCACGTGTGCATACAGGTGCACTAAGGGTATTTGATGCAAGGGGAATGTTAATATAAGGTGTAATAGTCCACACAGTCATGATGCAAAACATCATCCAAACCCGACTAAACCATCCGATAGGTTGCCTCTTACAACAAACAGAGGTTTCTGGGAACCCTCTGGAACATGGATCCTCCATGAAGTTTATTCCAGAGAATGAAGCTTAAACTGTTACAGTTATCAAGATACTGCATCTCTGTATGGTTATCACAGCTACCTCTATAAACATGTTCCCATGGACTTCAGACAACACCTTCCTGGTCAGGCCACTTCGTATATGAAGACCATCACAGTTTTGAGACACCACATGCTTCAGCTGCAAGAGAATACAACAAGACTAAACTGTCTATCCTGCATGAACAGTTACAGCAAATACAAGCTGCAAGAGAATACAACAAGACTAAACTGTCTATCCAGCATGAACAGTTACAGCAAATACAAGGCAAGTTTCCAAAAGACTAATAATGACATTTCTGGATTACATCCATAAAACACTGCACAAACACATTAGTTTCCAGACATCAAGACCTCATAGATGTTTCACATCAAACTATTATTAACATATGCAGTATCATAAGAGCTAGTTTATTTCACATGTCATAGCAGTCAGCAATATTCCAGTTATTTGATACTGGCTGTAACAATCATGTTCAGGTCAGACAAACCAGTGGTTGATAGATATTAGCAAAGTCTTACACTGCTGGGTGCCGTTGTACAAAACAACCTTAGTACTAAGACTGTCTTAAGTCTATTTTAAGGAATGGGAGTTACTGTCACCTTAGCGCGCTAAGATTGCTTTGTACAACAGCACCCTGGTCTATACTGGCACTCAGTCAATCAAGTCACCAAACTTGACCACCCAATACTCATTTAATCAGCACTCGGGACACTTAGGGCCTAATCTGACCAACACATTCTTGTTTAAAAAATTATGCTGTCATTAACAACATTTTGTTAACTGAAAATACAGCTCCAAATTGTGCTACAAAAAGCAGTGATTTAGTGTTGTCAACACCCTTGTGAAACCCTGTGTATGAGCAGCAGGAAGTATGTATCAGTTAGCTGTCTTCTGTTACTCACATGTCCTTCTCTGTAGAGCTGGGTGATGCCCATGTGGGTGTAGGTGGGTTCAGCATCACACAGATCCTGTGCCCTGTGGAACAAACATTGAAAATATTCATGTTATCAGTGGAATTGCATATTGCAAAATATTCACCCTCAGACTAATTTCACATACCTGGAACTAGTGGAAGAGGAATGAGGCCTGGTAGCTTTAATACTATACCAGCATGTGCCAAACTCCTTGGCATCTACAAGGCCCAAATAGTTACCTTGCATCATTTTCATGAATATTATATTGTTAACATATCGATTATTATAAGATTGTCATAAAAGAACGAATGTGTATGTCCGACTTACTGGAGTTCCTTCCCTTGCTTCAGTAGAGTCCACACACCGTTAGGGCCCCTGTAGTCTGGGATGGAGGCAGCCTGGGGAACAGACAACAAACATACAATCCTTGAACCTCACTCACGCCACTTAATAGTCAGTCCTTGAAATTCACTCACACACTATACCAGTGTATGAAATAAGCCAAAAACCCAGCCAGTCATTTGCCCTGGTAACTTCAAAAACGTACCAGCCCAGAAGAGATTTAACCAGTCCTTCTTATGTACTAAATAGACAGTGCCATCGGACACGTTATCTGAATATTCTTTTTTTCACCCGTCCATCGGGCTGGCAAGCTGTAAAATTGGACCGTCCAACAGAAATCTAGCCCGTCTCGGGCGGTCGCACAGGCCTTATTTCATACACTGACTATACTTGTAACTCACACACTCAATAGTTACAGTCCTATAACTCTCTAACACACTCAAAGGTTAATGTCAGTATAGCTCACACACTCATATACATCCTATAATACATTTCAGTTATCTTGTTTACAAATGAAAACGTCATAACTTTCCAATACACTAACTGCACATTGATACAGCATATTGTGTTCCCAATTTAATGACCTGGATTCAAACAACTTAACGCATCAATACATGTCTAGGCTTACTGTATCTGTTGTATTGACCAGGAAAAGTAAATATCGTTTGTGAATACCAGGTTCAGGAGGAATATAAACTGATACCTGAATGTTAAGGTAGCTGGTCAATCAACTAAGTAGTAGTACAAAACACATAGCCTTAGAGTCAGACATTACTAAAGGTAGTCCAGGTTGCAGCTGTTACTAGAGTCCTAGTAATACTCACAGTACTTATTCCTGCTCCGGTGTATATGACTATCTTGTTGGAGGCCTTGATTGCATTAGCAAGCTGCTGACATTTCAACTTGAGGATATCAGGTTCATCTTCAATCTGTTGAACAAAATGTACTACATTTAAGTCCATTTCAGTAATATTTCCATTTGACAGGTAGGAAATTCCTATCATCAGGTTACTTCAGAGCAAAAAAAGATATCTAAACAGGAAATGAAGTATGTGAAAAACAATACATCCTATAAATACTCACTTCCACAATGATGTGAATGTCAAATCAGCTGTTTCAATGAGGGATTATATATATATATGTGATTTGAAACCTCTGAGTAACCATTTAGAATCAAGAAATTTCCAAATTCGCTGTTGAATGTTGATTTGAGTATTTGTGTTCAGTGTTAGGCTAATTATCATGATCATTGACAACCAACCTCAAGTTCCCTCTGTTTTTGTGCATGTTGAATCTTGTCTCTCTTCTGAACAGCCTTGACTACTTCGGGCGACTCCTTTAAAATACCTGTCTCTTCATTTGTGCGTTCTTCTTCTGACTTCTTTAAGATATCACGAATCTGCCAATACAAGAATGAAAAATGTCCTCACAATAAGAATAAGGAATTTTCGTAAACACACACACACACATGATCGAAGAGTCATACGAGATCTGTGTACTGACCCACTGGAGCTATGTAACCTACGCTCAATAAACCTTATTGTTACTCCCCTGATGCCCTCAAACTGTGAGTCTTATGATTTGTTTACAAACAAATCGCCATTTCGTGGCGATTTTTCACACCTTATTCTGACGATAAAAGAGAAGGAAATGATAATATTGTCGTGCCCACCTGCTTGAATCTTGCGTGGATCTCATCTTTAGCTGAAACCTGACGTAAAAATTTACACTTTCTTGCTTTTCTGGTCGATTTCTCGATCTCGCATCCTTCTGCCTCCGCCATTGTCAACACAGTCGCTTCTGACATACATCATCAATAATCAGTGGAATGTTGTAAAAGAACTCCACAAAACCAACAATTTTTCACTGCATAGCCTCCTACGTATACGACCGATGCATATATTGCCATGGTCGTTTACAGATAGTAGAATTCTGTCGCTGGCACAAACAAATGTTCGATGTTACAAGGGGCATATATTAAGTTTCCATTTCCGATTTCAATATCCGGGTCCATCCAAAACATTTTATCTCACTCGCTCAGGCATTTCATTTACACTCGCTATAGTTATTCAGTATTAAAAATATCGAGCTATTGTGTATAAAAGGATAAGTATGTTTGTTAAAAATGCAAACGACAACACGAAAGACAACATGTAGGTCATGTTTGCAAGACAGTATTTTGGGATTTTTCAAGTTTCCGTAAGTTTCCGCATTTTACAGTCAGTATCTGAAACCTGCGTACGTTTGGGACATACATTTACGTGTCCTACACACACAATGGAATCCAAAAGAAGATTCAGCTTTTCTGATATAAAGGAGACGATGGAAATTCTCATTCCAGAGGTATCCCACTCAGTTTGAACAATGTGTGTTACTTGAAGTTTTCAAGTGTTTACACCAAGCCTACAATGGTTATCTCCCTTTACATGCACTGCCGCTCTAATATATCCCAGATGTTTTTAGTAATTGTTTGTGGAGGTTCTACGTATTTTAACTTATATTTCCAGACGTCGCATTGAATAGTGTTTTGTGGTTTGTGTTGATTTGATTGTAATTAATGTCTTGGATAACTCTCTCTCTCTAGGTAACATGGTTGGTCAGTGAAGTGAAGTGATGCACGAAAGTTGTGCTGAACCCAATGCCATGTATTCCTCAGGTGATAGACCCTGCTTTTGGGATGTACGTGTGGCCCTGTGCCCCGGTTCTGGCCCAGTATGTCTGGTTCCACAGAGAACAGATCAGAAACAAACACGTTCTGGAGGTAAGTAGTGGCAATGACCTTCTAGACGCCCTTAATCCAATATTGAGTAAGAGTATAGTGGAAGATTCTATGAAAGAGGATCGACCATTCGAAATCAATATGACAAATGAGATGCCAGTTCACCATCTTGTAACATTTGTGGGCCGGTCAGTGAAATCTCATCAGTTATTCAGGGTCTGGAAATATAGAAACCTTTGATGGAAAGAATATGGATGACAGTACCATCAAAATTATTTGTGACTACTCAGCATTTTAGATAGTTTCTATGAATTCCTGTTTTGCAGTGTTAGTTTGACTGCCCTGGGGTAATTGTTAGTTCACCCAGGCACCCCCCTTTCTTAATGTCACCATGCATGCAGGTGCCAGTATTTCTATATACTGGGACATCCGGATGGCCTGGTGGTTAAAGCCTACATTGGACACACAGAAGGCTGTGTTCGATTCCCCACATAGGTACATTTTGCGAAGTCTATTTATGGTGTCATCCACCACTATACTGTAGAATATTACTGTAAGTGGTCGGAAATCACCATACTCATTTCACTCACTACATTTACATACCAGGATCTGCTGTCCGTAGGTTCGAATGACAGATTTGTCCCAATTATGAAACTTGGTCTGTTAATAATATTTGTCGGAGTCACTTTGGACTTCAGCATGAATCAGGCATCCCTTATATGATACGAATTCATTTGAACTCAATCTCTGTTAACTATTAATGCCCATTTCTGGTGTCCCCCGCCGTGATGTTGCTGAATATTGCTAAAAGCGGCGTAAAACCAAACTCAGTCAGTCAGTCAGTCAGTTAACTATTAAAATTACGAAAGGTATCCCAGATGTCTATGGGCAAAATGCATAACATTAAGAAAGAAATGAACTCAGGAAATCGATTACCTTCTGGAATAGCTACCATCGAAATGCCATTGGTCAAGATTCATAGTTCTTAGCAATGACTGGTTTTGAGATTCAAAGATTTGTTTCTACAAAATATTGTGTCCAGTATGTCTTATTAATCTGGACACAATCTATGTGTTAGCATAACGTATAGCAGTGTATGAAATAAGCCAAAAATCTAGCCAGACATCAGGGCTGGTAACTTCAAAATGTTACCAACCCAAAATGGATTTAACCAGACCAAATATGGTGAATTTACTCAGATGTATGGAACATCTAAAAAATTTACTCGACGCTCGGGGTGGCTAGCTGTAAATTTAGACCGTCCGTCAGAAATCTAGACCATGACGGGCGGTCGGACAGGCCTTATTTCATACACTGACATATAGCATTATCAAACCATGTATGTGTCATTTTTGGCAGCTTGGTGCAGGCACAGCTCTTCCAGGAATCCTTGCTGCCAAATGTGGAGGATTTGTCACCCTCAGCGACAGTGCCAACTACCCTCGTTGTCTTGACAACTGCCGCAGGAGTTGCGAAGCCAACGGACTGTGTGGTGTCTCAATCCTAGGCCTTACTTGGGGGGAGTTTTCGCCTGACTTCCTGCAGCTACCTCCCCAAGACGTCATACTTGGGTCTGATTGCTTTTATACCACTAAAGGTAATCGCGAATGAAGTGAGTGAGTGAATTTAGTTTTACGCTGCCCTAAGCATTATTCCAGCTACACGTATATGGCGGCGGTCTGTAAATGATCGAGTCTGGACAAGACAATCCAGTGATCAACAGCAAAGAGCATCGATCTATGCAACTGGAGCCTGACCACCCGGTCCCATTAATTGCCTTTTTCAACAAGCATGGATTACTGAAGATCAATTCTAACCCGGTTCTTCATGGGTCGCGAATGAAGAGAGGGGTGCATTGCCAAGTGGTTAGTTGGGTTTATTTTTATCGCTCGGCAAACAGCATCCTCAGAGATCCAGTTTTGTTGATTAAGTTATTATTCATTCTTGTAAATCAATATCCACAGCCCATTTGCTACATTAGCTTTGTATTAAATATCGTTTAATATAGCCATTCATTTGCCAAGTGGTTAAACTGACTGACTGAGTTTAGTTTTACGCCGCTTTTAGCAATATTCCAGCAATATCACGGCGGGGGACACCAGAAATGGGCTTAACACATTGTGCCCATGTGGGGAATCAAACCCGGGTCTTCGGCGTGACGAGCCAACGCTTTAAGCACTAGGCTACCCCACCGCCCCCCAAGTGGTTAAAGGCCTGGGCACAATGTGGGAAGCCCATTTCTGGTGTCCCCCGCCGTGATATTGCTGGAATATTGCGAAAAGCAGCATAATATCCAACTTGCTCACTCACTCACTCATCACGATGGGAAACCTGTCACATGGTGATGAGTAAGTGAGTTGGATTATCACCGTTTTGAAAGGTGCTTCAGTTATATCACAGTGCCTCAGTTAGATTTGGGAGGAAAACATAAAGTGCTGCAGGTCGTTACAGTGAAACACACGAGCACCTGTATGGTGATGATGAACCTTGAAACTTAATCAGGGGAAGAATGTAGAGGAACTCAAGGCTATAAGTGTATTTGTCACCTAAGGGACACAACTTGCGGGACCTTAATCAGGGGAAGAATGTAGAGGAACTCAAGGCTGTAAGTGTATTTGTCACCTAAGGGACACAACTCGCGGGACCTTACACCATGTGTGTGCCCAAATTTGCCTAGGAAGGATTTTGCAGAAAATACAAATCAAAAAACAGTAGAAAACAAATAGCCACAATCAGGACAATGTCATAGATACACACTGTATGACAAGGGCATTACTGGGGAAAGAAAGCATGTCATGTCAAAATGTTCACTGCAACAGTTAGTACCTGTGGTACCTTCTGCTTACAGAGATTGTGGTCTTTAAGAGTGCCTTGATCCTGTGACAGGATGCGTCCTGATTATTTAATTGGTGTGACAGCTCCATGGCCGTGTTTCGAGTGGTTCATCTCTTTCCACCACAAAAAGCTGTCACACCTAACTAAAACTGTTCAAGGTCGTGTTACTCCAGCTCACTCACTCACTGCAGATAATTGCATGCTGTTAATGCTTCAGATTTCGAAGACATCCTGGCCACTGTGGCGTACCTCCTCCAGCTGACCCCGGCAGCTGAGTTCTGGACAACGTACCAGGAGAGAAGGTCAGGTTAAACAATGGCTAAGCATGAGACGCTCCACTGAAAGAGTGAGTGAGTGAGTTTAGTTTTACACCGCACTCAGCAATATTCCAGCTATGTGTCAGCAGTCTGTAATTGTAAATAATCCAGCTATGTGGGGCGGTGGGGTAGCCTAGTGGTTAAAGCGTTGGCTCATCACGCCGAAGACCCGGGTTCGAATCCCCACATGGGTACATTGTGTGAAGCCCATTTCTGGTGTCGCCCGCTGTGATGTTGCTGGAATATTGCTAAAAGCGATGTGAAAGTAAACTCACTCACTCACAAGTGGATAATTGACTTGTCTATGCATGTCTTTGTGATGCATACCTACGGCGATAAGGTCGGCGAACACCGGGTGTCATAACAGTTTGATGGTGATTCAGAAGCATTGGCATTGGAATATTGCTTAAGCGGCGTAAAACCAAACTCTGTCAGTCAGTCAGTCAAGCTATGTGTCAGCAGTCTGTAATTGTAAATAATCCAGTCTGGACCAGTACACCATTGAAATGGGATGAAGTCAACTGACTTCCAGGAACATATTTTACCTCCAACACATGGAACGAGAGCAGAGCTTTGTTTTAGATTGACTAAATGGTCAAAACAGAAGTTTAAAGTCATACCAGTACTTGTTCCAGGAATAGAAACCACATATAGAACAATAATTATGATGACGGCGCATTCTGATGTAAACTACATTGTCACACTCTCCCACAGCCCTCGTTTGGATTCAGGTAAGACTGGATCCTATGATCCCAAGTTTCTCGAAGAGCTGACGAGTGAGGAATGTGTGGTTTGGGGCTGACATCATGTAGCGCCCCATCAGCAATCATGTACAGGCAGGGGAAATATAGCTGCGACAAAGCTACACAAGTGTTGGAAGTACTCACTCTGTAAGGGACTCACGCTTTGGTTTTCTCAATAAGAACTGTTCATTCTTGTACAGTGTCAATACAGTAGCTATTTCCCTTGTGAACACCCATGTAATGTAGTCATGTCCTTAGCTAAACATCTTGTTTTGTGCCTTGTAAATGTTGTGAGCTGTGTGTGATGAATCTGGAGTAGAACTGGTTTCCAGTCACCTATACCAGACATAAAGCTAAAGGGATTGTTTATTTGTGTTTTTACCCTGCACTCTGTGATATTGTGCCTAAAATCAGTGTTTAAAACTCCCAAAATTCCAAGCTAGACAGCCGGACTGGTAACTTTAAAAAATAAGCAGTCCGGATACAAACTTGCCTGTCCGGTTTTCAACAATAAAAACCAAACCAAATCAGGTTTCTGAAGGTTTACTGTTTGTAGGCATCGCAATTAACTACATATAGCATTAACAGGCAATGCACCGAGTTTAGGTCAACTGAAAGTACACGTGTTGTGATTGGTTATCGCAACATGAACTGTCCAATCGTAAGTAGTTTAACATAATCATCATAATACTGTAAACACTTCAAACTGACGACAAGAAAACCTGTCTGATATTACGAAATATTTACTATTTGGGGTAAAAATATCTACCAGACCACCGGCCAGGCTACTTTTGAAATTTGACCGTCCGAGATGAAAATAGACCGTTCCGGACGGTCGGGCAGGCGGGAATTTTAAACGCTGCTAAAATTTGGACAAATCAATTCAGTGATTGACGTCATGCCTGCTGATCAATGCAATTTGATGAAATGATGATCGATATCAACCCGATCGAGTTGTCTCTTAAGACAAGCTTCGGTTGCTGAAGACTAGTTGTAGCCCAGACCTTCAAGAGATTAAATAGAGGGTGTTCATGCTGTGTTTTGACTGATTCCTTGTCAATGTCGATAATTTACAGCACATCATATGACTGAATATTGCAGTATGTGGCGTTTAACAACAAGCAAACAAAGACAATTCAATATTTTTGTACATTCTCTATTCCCTTACACGGGTGGAAATAACCCATTGCCCGACGTCCGAGTCCAGTGTTTTTTTTCTGTAGGGCAAGCAAATTTGTATATCACACTGTACCGGTGTCCAGTTGACTTTCCAATGTTAATTATGTTGTTTATTTTAAAAAATCAACAAAAAAACGGCTGGTATAGTGGAAAAATTATCAGGGCAAGTGATTTTACATGTGCCACTGTTCCGGAGTACACTAGCAAGTTTAAAGTTATTTCCACCCCTGACTTATAGTGATAACTAACTGGTATTATTTCCTGTCACAGCGCGGACCGGTCCATCGAGCACCTGCTGAGGAAGTGGAAGATGTGTTGCCGACACGTCCCTCTCCCCTTGTTCGAAGCAGACAGTACCGGCATTGCTGGCTCGGCTCTGCCAGGCAACCACACTGTACATATGATGGTCATTACAATGTCCAGAGATGGAGGCTGATGGCACGGTTACATATACATGTATATGGGAGTTTGTTGAGGCAAAGCTGTCTGGATAAAGACAGGTTTCCAGACATAGGGCTGATACCACCTTACAGATCTAACTGATAAACCCTCGGTATCGAAAGCTGGGACTGATGGCACGGTTACATATACATGTATATGCGAGTTTGTTGAGGCAAAGCTGTCTGGTTAAAGACGGGTTTCCAGTGATAGGGCTGATACCACCTTACAGATCTACCAAAGTTGAGAAGACAACGCTGAAATTGATAAACCCTTGGTATCGAAAGCTGGGACTGAGGGCATGGTTAAATTCATACTCCAAGCATTGTGACAAGGCTTAGATGGGTTAGCCTCGGTATTCACATGTGAGGCTCGTGGCACCTTAATGACATAACCTAGGAGAAAACGCTCATATGGATAAAGTCATGGTGATCGATATGGGGCAGACAGCATGGACACAATATACCCGAGTTGTTTGTTAAGGGAAACAAACATGGTGTGAGAGCTGGGTGTTGACCGAAGACCTACACAAATATTCCCCAGTTGTTTAAGACTAGGCTCAGAAGGATAAAGACATGGATATACTTGCACAATGGTTTCTAAGAACTAAGGTGATTGTAACTCCCATACTTTAGCAGATGCTTATGATACTTTGTGCAAGTTGGCCTTGGAGTCAAGGGATGGTCCATGACAGTCTGTAAATAATCAAGTCCTGACCAGACATTGCAGTAAGTGAACATCGATCGACCACTGAATCTCGTTTTAGTCTTAGGACAAGGATGAGTTGCTGAAGATCAATTCTAACCCGGATCTTTTCGGGTCCATGAATCTTAAATGGTTCTAACATGATGGTGGCAACAGGTAACGCAATACCTTGCAAGAAGGAAAAGGGCAACTGGATTCATTACATCCAGTGGTACACAAATGCAAGGAGACCGAGTTCTCAGAAATAACAGTGAATGTTAAATCAGATTATACTATATATATAGTCCCCATTTTGTTTTTATTATGCAGTGACAGTTGCAGCTATACACCATTCAACCAGAATAACGGATCATTCAACCAGTGTCTGCATCATAAATGATTTAATATCTCACCTGCCTCAGAAAGGAGCAAACTCTGGGACAGAAATGGTCACAGGTATTCAATGATCTTCAAAGAATATAAGAACTAGTGCTCAACGTTACCACGCATGATGTAGACGGTCCAGTGAGGAGACCTTGCTGTTGGAAAGTAGATCACAGACCTCACTGTAACCATGTTTCCACTTCCTCAGAACACAAAATATACACCATAATAACAGGTTATGTTTTAATGATTGACAAACAAGAAATACACATGTAAACAATAACATTAATAAACAGGGCGGTGGGGTAGTCTAGTGGTTAAACGTGGCTCAGCACACCAAAGACCCGGGTTCGAATCCCCACATGGGTACAATGTGTTAAGCCCATTTCTGGTGTCCCCTGCCCTGATATTGCTGGAATATTGCTAAAAGCGGCGTAAAACCAAACAAGGGGCAAGAATGCTGTTAATATGGATGTCAGTCAAATACCTACATACTGCTCCTGAAACACGTCTTTTTAAGTTTCTGTTCTCTCATCGTAATGTATACTGTGAAGGGTGGTGACGTAGCCTAGTGGTTAAAGCATTAGCTCGTCACACCGAAGATCCGAGTTCGATTCCCCACATGGGTACAATGTGTTAAGCCCATTTCTGGTGTCCCCTGCCCTGATATTGCTGGAATATTGCTAAAAGCGGCGTAAAACCAAACTCAGTCAGTCAGTCAGTCATTCATAAACATTCGAAGGCACTGTACCTCACCTGGGGGCACCGGAACCAGCTATATGGCGGCAGTCTATAAATAATCGAGTCTGGACCAGACAACCCAGTAATCAACAGCATGAGCATCGATCTGTGCAATTGGGTCACGATGACACGTGTCAACCAAGTCCGCGAGCCTGATCATCCGATCCCGTTAGTCGCCTCTTGCGACACGCATGGGTTGCTGAAGACCAATTCTAATCATGATGTTCACGGGTAGCATTGAACTCTTGGTAAGAGTATACACTTCACATTTTTCGTCCAAATATTTCAGTATGTTTATCTCCTAAATATGTGTGTGATGTATAATTCCAGAAATGGTAAAGGTATGCATCAAATGATATGATATAAGTCGTACAGCCCACCGACTGTCTTCGAAATAAACGTAACAAATGAGGTGTGACGACAAGATGAATGTCAGAGAAAGCATAGACAGGTATACGCTTGTGCTTCATTTTGTACAGATCTAAATAAGATGAATTGTTAGCGCAAATAGACACTCCGAGACAGTACCGAAAAGTAAACAAGGTACATTTGTATATTTTAAACACTGAACACATAAATATGACTATCGCCATGAAGAAATAATAAACATGGGTGATTTCAAAATACACAAATCCAACAGACATGACTTTTTAAGTAAAAATACTATGTTTCTTGTCTTGGAGGCACTACGTGTTGATGCACTTGCAGGATCCGGGCACCTTTACCCACTCCACCTGGTATCGATTGTCGTCGTCTTCGTCCAAGTCATCGTCCACTGTGACTGCTGTTGTATATTCCATATTTTGTTTACACTCGCCGTAGTGATAGTTGGTCACGTGACTGAAATAGACGGCAGTGAGTGAGTATAGTTTTCCACAATAGCGATATTCCAACAATATCACGGCGGGGGACACCAGACATACATTGTACCAATGTGGGATTCGAACCTGGAGTCTATAGCTTGACGAGCGGACGCTTTAACCATAAGGCTACACCACCGCCCCGAAATAGACATGACCCTTAGACAGGAAGGCAGGCGTCATACGGGCCCTTCTCGGTGAAATTGGCTTTTGTGTCTGTTTATCAGAATGCTTAATTATATATATACTATTCATAAATTCAACATGTATTTCATACTGATTATTTATGTGACACGCAGATTTGGCCAATGGTCCATTACGTAAGCACGAACGCTTAGCAAGACAGCTGTTTTACCTGCACTCCTCGAACTTGAAGAACTGCTTCCTGCTTCCAAACTGGGCGATCAACTTCACAACGTCCGTCACAGTGGTCATCGAGGTTTCGTCTCTGAAGAACGCTTGTCTATAACACAAAATGATACCTGTCTATAGCTCGACATGACACCCTTCAGAAGACACCCTTCCATGACAAAATATAGGAAATGTCTAAAGCACATGGCAGTTTTCTTTAACACGATATGGCATCTAGATACCAGATAGCATAACACCTTTCTATAACACAAGGCAATTGTGATACCAATTTATAGCACACAATGTCATTTAACTAAAACATGGCTCCAGTATGTCACACGGCCTGACGCCTGATTATAGTACATGACATCTGTCCCACAGGGGCGTGTCACGCTTAGAAACAGCGTTAGAAAGACATATAGGTATATAGACCCTACCCTAGTACTATATAAAAGAAAGGAGTAGGGTCTATATACCTATATGTCTTTCTAACGCTGTTTCCAAGCGTGACACGCCCCTGTGATCTGTCTAGCATCTGTCGGCGCGTTTATAGTAGCACTACATACCTCTGGCTTTGGGGCAGTGAGTGAGTTTAGTTTTACGCTGCTTTTAGCAATATTCCTGCAATATCGCGGCGGGAGACACCAGAAATGGGCTTCAAACATTGTAACCATGTGGGGAGTTGAACCCGGGTCTTCGGCGTGACGAGCGGGCGCTTTGACCACTAGGCTACCCCATCGATCGATGCTCATGCTGTTAATGACTGGATTGTCTGGCCCAGACTCGATTTCTTACTGACCGCCGCCATATAGCTGGAATACTGCTGAGTGCGGCGTAAAACTAAACTCACTCACTCACTCACCCTGGGGAGTATGCAAACAATACAGCGGATTACTTTTACTGATGATAACCGATACATATTGTACTTACGATTGACAACATGCGTGGTGGAGAACAGGACCCGATATTTGACGTGCAGGAAGACTCCCATTTTTTGAAGAACAGTTGACATAACAATTTGTTGGCCCCAGCACCCTGCTCTTGACTGGCGTGTACAAAGTGGTTAAATTGTGTAGACGTAGCTGCTGCTCTGTGGTTCTGAACAGCGTCGGGTACCGCTCAACGATACGTTCCTCGGCACTTTTCTTTGTCCTGAAAAAGTCAAAATGACCATAGTTTGACCGAAAGTAGTGAGTGAGTGACATTGGTTTTATGCCGCTTTTTAGTAATATTCCAGCCATATCGCTTTAACATTCCACAGACGAATGAGAACTCCACACACATCATTGCTTTTATATTTAATGGATATATTATGTGAATGACGCCACTGACGCCAGCACAAAGTATATCGGACGAACTCTGGTGTACTACCTACACCCTATATTAACTAAGAACTATGGTGTACTACCTACATCCTATATTAACTAAGATCTATGGTGTACTACCTACATCCTATATTAACTAAGAACTATGGTGTACTACTTACACGGTGTACTACCTATATTAACTAAGAAGTATGGTGTACTCCTTACACCCAATATTAATTAAGAAGTATGGTGTACTCCTTACACCCAATATTAATTAAGAAGTATGGTGTACTCCTTACACCCAATATTAACTAAGAAGTATGGTGTACTACTTACACCCTATATTAATTAAGAACTATGGTGTACTCCTTACACCTATATTAACTAAGATCTATGGTGTACTACCTACACCCTATATTAACTAAGAACTATGGTGTACTCCTTACACCCAATATTAACTAAGAAGTATGGTGTACCCCTTACACCCATATATTAACTAAGAAGTATGGTGTACTATTTACACCCTATATATAACTAAGAACTATGGTGTACTCCTTACACCCTATATTAACTAAGAAGTATGGTGTACTACTTACACCCTATATTAACTAAGAACTATGGTGTATTACACCCTATATTAAAAGAAGTATGGTGTACATCACACTAATTAGAACCTTACACTCAATATTAATTAAGAACTATGGTGTACTCCTTACACCCTATATTAACTAAGAAGTATGGTGTACCCTTACACCCTATATTAACTAAGAAGTATGGTGTACTACCCACCCAATATTAATTAAGAAGTAACCCCTCAAACCCTATATTAACTATTTACACCCTATATTAACTAAGAACTATGGTGTACTACCGTATAAACTATGGTGTATTCCGTACATCCTAAAGAACAACTCAGAACGTCAACTATTACTACCCAACTCCCAAAAAACATTTTGCACTAATTACTCCCAATAAAACATTTTGATAATTCCAGTGTACTACGTACTCCCTAAAGACATAAGTGGTTATTACAAAGCATCAAATGGAGTATATTCCCTCAACACAAGCAATCCTACATGAAATGGTCAGTTATGTATGTACTCACCCGACCTCCTTCCAAATGACGTAGCACGCTAATCCAATAGTTGTTATACAGAATGCTATAGCAATGACAACCTGCAAAACAACTTTACAACATCAGCCATATACATCATCTAAACAGCTCAATATGTATTTATTCCCCGATAGACATAACATGAGTAATTTTGACAAATATAAGAATTCAAATTGGTAGGAACATGCAAGGATTAGGTAAGTTCTGGTTGAACGCCGGTTTGATACAGGTTGTGCACTAACACGCTTTGCTCCATACGCAACTCCTCAATCTTCTTCCAACCAACAACCAGCACGAGTAAAAGCCCGGCTGTACAACGAATAACCGCCCTTAAACCGCACCCAACCACCTCACTCACTCCAGCTGTTAACCCGTGAACATCCAAGTTAGAACTGTCTTCAGTAACCCATGCTTATCGAAAGACGCGACAAACGGGATCGGGTGGTGATGTTTGCTGACTTCGTTGACACATGTCCTTGTATCCGATCGTACCGATGCTCATGATGTCAATCACTAGATTGTCTGGTCCAGACTCGATTATTTACAGACCACCATCACTTAGCTGGAATATGTGAGTCATTAAACATCAAACAGGTAAACAAACTAACACTCCCGGTTTAGTTCACATGGGACTACACACAGAAAAGCGTCCAGATTGCAATCTGATTTACACCAACTGCTAACATTTCTCCGACATAGAATGAAACAGCATTAGTCGGGATGACCTGCCTTCATATAAATGGACTCCCGAACGACCGAACATGTCACCTGTGTATTTTCCTTGTAGCGGTGATAAATATCATTATTTATGTAAATGTGAACTACTTGTGTTTTATTAGTGAAAATATCTTGTGCGCCAGGCGAAACCACATTTCGCGTCACCCCTTTGCTCTCTATAGATCGCGACCCGTGAAGGTCCGGGTTAGAATATTGATCTTCAATAACCCATGCTTGTCGTAAGAGGCGACTAACGGGATCGGGTGGTCACGCTCGCTGACTTCGTTGACACATGTCATCGGTTCCCAATTGCGCAGATCGATGCTCATGCTGTTGGTCACTGGATTATCTGGTCCAGACTCGTTTATTTCCAGACCGCCGCCATATAGCTGGTATATTGCTGAGTGCGGCGTAAAACTAAACTCACTCACTCTATAGATCGCTAAGCGTCTCTGAATGTTATTATAAGTTCCCCAATGCTAAGAAATAAGTAAACCTCTATACCATGAACGCTGGACACACTACAAACTTACGTAAATTTACCTGTAAACAAAGTGTAATTTCAACTTGCAGTGTTTGTTTGTGCGTGCGTGCGTGCGTGCGGGTGTGCGTGTACAGATATAAATGTCTTCAATTGCACTATGTATATTTATCACTTGCCTACTATATCTTTTACTCCTGCATCAACCAGGGTGATTTGAGTGAGTAAATGAATCTGTTTCGGGTTATAGTCCGTATAAAGGGGTTTCCGGATTAACAAAATTAAGTTTCTCACAGAGACAGGCTGTTCGCTTTCTCTACAATCACTACGTAGTCAAAGCTCTCCACAATCACAGGAGTTTAATTATGCATGGAGTTTAAACCCAATCGCCTGTCGCGACGTCGGGCACTCAATCCGCAGTTGACATAGTTCTAGGACACGCATGAGTTGAAATCAGAATCGCCCGACCGCGATGTTTACAAACAAGCGATAACTTTCCCAAGCTAGATCATACATAGTTGCTTGTCAATTTGAACTCTTTTTTTTTCATTTCAACTATCAGGTACATGTTACAGAGCGAATGCTGGGGGAATCGGATGCTTTTCACTTTAATCTGCAGTCCGACCCGAATAAACAAACAAATGTAAATGTATCTGGAAAATACCCCGGTTCTTCTTCTCGGAATGGCATTAATCAGACATACACAAGATCAATAATGTCACAACATTTGGGGTTAGATGGAAGACGTTCAAGATTCTTGTAACAGCAGCTTTCACATTGGTTTGGTACATAGAGTGAGTAGACCATGGCGCCGCTTTTAACGATAATCAAATACTACCACGGATACTACACCAGATATGGGCTTAACATATAACAAGAACGTGAGGACGCTTGATTTCCAGGTTACAGCACTGAATTTAAAGGTAACGGAGGTGTCTCTCACTGTGAGTGAGTTTAGTTTACCCCGCTTTAAGCAACATTCCAACAATATCGCGGCGGGGAACACTAGAAATGGGTTTCACACAATATACCCATGTGGGCAATCGAACCCGGGTCTCAGCGTGACGATCGAACGCTTTAACCCCCAGCCAGTGTGAAGCGTCATCATGGCAATCACTAGGCTGGTCCGGATACAACAGCTAGGATCAGTTTCATGAACCTGAAGCATCTCCAGTGAACAATTGGATGTACGGGAAACACAGCAGGAAGACTAGGGTCATCGTTACAACGTATGAGAGCATTTGGCAACACTCGTATCCGGAATTGCACGAGTTGGCTCCGAACAGTCTGAAATGACACGATACTGTCCCGTCCTCGTGCTTATTGCATATGCAGTTGTACTATTAATGGTTCAGTGAGACATGTAGACATGTCGGTCTAATAAGAAAAATACATTCTCATGGATGACATGCGTCCCCAAGGAGCGGAATGATGTTGGCATGTCTTGGAGGTACCATCGCTGGTCGCACCGACACTCAGGGGCCGTGTGGTTTCATTGAGGTTGTCAACATTAACACAAATCAATCTTGCAAATAAAAACGACTCTTTACTTTTATTTTGGGTGCACGGGTGGCTCAGTAATTACAAAGACACCGGGATATGCTCTTCGGAGTTGAGGGGCGGTGGGGTAGCCTAGTGGTTAAAGCGTTGGCTCGTGACGCCGAAGACCCGGGGTTCGATTCCCCACATGGGCACAATGTGTTAAGCCCATTTCTGGTGTCCCCCGCCGTGATATTGCTGGAATATTGCTAAAAGCGGCGTAAAACTAAACTCAGTCAGTCAGTCAGTCTTCGGAGTTGAGTCCTTTACTTGTGTCAGAATCGTCGTGCGTTCGAATCCCGCACTTCATGATTATTGTATTTTCACTTATACCCATATTAATGTGTTTGTGAAAGTGGTGAAAGTTAAGGCTCAAAGAAATTAACTCTTACATTAAACGCTGTTCTCAATATCCTGAAACAGCTGGAGTCACTGAACATTCAATGACTATATTACTAATAGTACACAATCCAATTTGAAAATGGTCATTTGTAACATATGTTCGATTGATGGTTACACCTTCTCAGTGAAATACAGGTTCTATATAGTACTTTTTGGGGTTGAGTTCCTCCGAGATTCCAACCCTCTCTCTCAATGTATCAGAAGATCAGCGCACAAAGTCAGCAATTTAACCTACTTAGCCACCGCCGCTTCCTCAACAAAACGTTTGACAACTGGTAGTCTAGATCACGTACTTCGGTAAACCCCTCTGAAGAGAATATTTTGGCACCGCTCCCATAGACGATGGCTATGAATGCACAGTGCCATTCAGAAAGTGGTCAAATGTAGCATGTGGCGGTGGGGTAGCCTTGTGGTTACAGCGTTGGTTCATCACGCAAAAGACCCGATTTCTATTTCACTCATAGGTTCAATGTATGAAGCCTATGTCTGGTGTCCCCAGTCGCGATATTGCTGAAATATAGCAAAAGCGGCGTAAAACTCACTCACTCACTCACTCACTCACTCACTCCTCACTCACTCAAATGGAACATGTAATATTTGGGATAACACTTTCTTACACATTCTTGTACCGTAGCCCTTTGTATTCATAGCCTTCGGCCATACGAGTCGTGAAACACTATACGGTGGCTGAGTGGGTCAGATCGCTGACTTTGTGTGCTGGCTTTTGAGCGCCTCATTCTGAGAGTGTGGGTTCGAATCCTGGATGGGACTCAACCCCCCAAAGTACTAGAATCTGTACATTACTGAGAAATTGTCATCCTAATTATTGCATATGTCGCATGTCACATGTTTGCTCTTAAATGCACGTGTATATATTCCAAGAAATTAGGTTTTCAAGCGCTGTTTCTATGGGTCGTATAACAATGTACGTTTTGTGACGATGTGGTCACAATGAGCCAACAAATTCCCATTACGCCCAAAATTAAAACAAGCCCCAGTTAGATGGGACATTCAAAAACTGAGGAACATCTGGACTTGCTTCATTTGGGGGGTTTCATTCATGAAGGGCTCGTCGGAAGGGAAAACTAATCCGTTAACAGTGAGACAGACCATGCAACTCCCATGTAGGTCCAACAGTACAATGAACAGTCGCATAAGCGCTCGTTGTGATTACATTTTGATATTTGCTAAAGTAACTTAAATTATCGGGAGTAAATAGGTTGGGAATCCTTCTGTCCATCAGCGGGTCCACAAACGCATGACTCACTAAAACTACATTACAAAACTGATAATGAAACTGGAACGGCATGCGTGTGTATGGTCAACCTGCCTAGCCGCTGTCCGAGGGTCAAGTCAGACAAAGACCACTGAGGACAGTACGACTAACCACAAGTTAAGGTGAATCACTTTCCTCATCTGATGACCATACCTGTCTGGTCAGCCAGCAGTATCCCACATTCCAGCCACCATGACACGCTTTAGTGACCAACAGGACATCCTCAGTTTATATTACAGGGAGATGACCTGCACTTGAACCTATGGTAGTGGCCAAGGTAATGGCTTGAGCTTACAGCTGCTGTTATCTAATTTGTACTGACTTCTCCGTGGATGTTTTGAAAGATGAGAACTCGGGGAATACAAAACTCCTATAAACACCTACAAATAACAATGTCCAGTTATACAACGAGCCTCTATCCAATACAGTAATCGAGTGAGTGAGTATAGTTTTACGCCGCACTCACCAATATTCCAGCTACATGGCGGCGGTCTGTTAATAATCGAGTCTGGACCAGACAATATAGTGATCAACAGTATGAGCATCGATCTGCGCAATTGGGAACCGATGACATGTGTCAACGAAGTCAGCGAGCGTGACCATCCGATCCCTTTAGTCGCCTCTTACGACAAACATGGGTTACTGAAGATCAATATTCTAACCCGGACCTTCACGGGTATATACCAGCAATATCGCGGAGGGGGACACCAGAAGTGGGCTTCACACATCCCAATACAGCTAAACTGACTGACACTGAGTCTTGAAGTGTCTACGATATATGCAGGTGTTTCCACTGAAGTCAGGGTTACCTGGTAATCAATAATGTTTACAGATCGATCGTACAATTGTAACTTACCCATACTCTCGACGTTGAACAGCCACCTGCCATAGCTGAAAGAACAAAGAAGACGTAAGATGCGAGACCTGTTACTCGATGTATGCCTTACAGGTCGTTCAGGTATTCTGTCACATCAGCCATGCTCGGCTGAGCTTGTCACCTGATATCTGGCTAAGTGTGTCATAGCGTAGGATTGCCGTAGGAAAAAGGTGTATAACAAGTTCACTAGTTTCCGTTATTCTAAAGGGAGCAACGCTGTAAAGTATGAATTAAATGACAATGTTTGGAATTGGAAACAACTTCTGTTAATAATATTACAGCTAGGTGCACAATTCGCTCGGATGTATAATTAAAATAAACCAAAGACTGACATAACTTTATCACGGCAGTAATCCTGATCCCTTCACACATAGGAAAGGAACGCCCCTTAATCTTTAAATTGCCTACCTTATGTTCGTTGTGTTTCGCCTGTGATCCTCTTCACTGTGTGACGAAAACAACTGATCAGTTTGTCTTTATAGAAACCGGACTTGGTATTCCCCAAACCTATTTCATTACATGTTTCCCGTGTCATTGAGTGAACATTAGCAAGGGAGGTAACTGCTGATGGGACTTATCATCGACAAATCTTTCACGACGCGTGTTAAGTCAAGCGAAACTTAGATATGTTCAAACCAACCAACTGGATGTTGCTGGTATGAATTAATCAGGACTTGAGGCGGAAGTCAGTTGTTTTATCTTCCAGAGCATGACGATCCCACGCATAAAAATATAATGGAGGGTATTCAAACAGCCGTCCTATTCTAAGAACTTTGTCATCAGTATAATGTAAAAAAGATAATTTCTTGTGAGAACAAATCTAGGTTTCTTAACAGAGATCTCATTCATAACTAAACTCATAAGGATATTACTAATAAGGGTATTTTGTGTATTACCCAATGATAAGACACCTGTAGAGGTATTATAACATTTACTGAAAACGTATTGAGTTGAGTTTGGCTTTACGTCACATCGGCATTATTCCAGCCATATAGTGACGAGATCAAGTTTCCATTCATTACCATTTTAAGGCCAAGGTCCAAAAGGGTTATATATCAGAAAAATATATATATACTGAAAACGAAAGCATAGCTAAAGCTATGGTTGATAAAAGTAATTCAACGACTAGGGAAAGTTATGCCCATCGTTCTTGGAAGTGTTTTATTAGCATAACTGAATTACTGCCCTAGGGCAATTATTTATTTTATTTTTATTTTTTTTTACTTGGTCTTTGAGACCTATTCGTAAATAAGGGTAGAATATTGTCAATAGAGAAATGTTTAAGATTATGTCCTTTATGTCATTCAGCCATTGAAAATGAAATCCATTTTATCATTTTTCTGTCCATTTTATGTTGATCTAAGAAGTTAAATATATACAAGTGCAATCTCCTTGTATCCTGAATTGTGCCTTTGTTCAATTTTATATACAAATCATGTAAACGTTACTCTCCAATTTGAGTAGTTATATATATAATCATGCTTTATCTTGAAATGAACTGTTAAGCATTGATATACATCATGTATTCTCCTTGTATTATTGTGAGTAGTTATATATATATATATATGTATTCTCATTGTATTATTGTGAGTAGTTATATATATATACATCATGTATTCTCCTTGTATTATTGTGAGTAGTTATATATATACATCATGTATTCTCCTTGTATTATTGTGAGTAGTTATATATATATACATCATGTATTCTCCTTTGTATTATTGTGAGTAGTTATATATATATACATCATGTATTCTCCTTGTATTATTGTGAGTAGTTATATATATACATCATGTATTCTCCTTGTATTATTGTGAGTAGTTATATATATATATATCATGTATTCTCCTTGTATTATTGTGAGTAGTTATATATATACATCATATTCTCCTTGTATTATTGTGAGTAGTTATATATATACATCATGTATTCTCCTTGTATTATTGTGAGTAGTTATATATATACATCATGTATTCTCCTTGTATTATTGTGAGTAGTTATATATATACATCATGTATTCTCCTTGTATTATTGTGAGTAGTTATATATATACATCATGTATTCTCCTTGTATTATTGTGAGTAGTTATATATATATACATCATGTATTCTCCTTTGTATTATTGTGAGTAGTTATATATATATATATATGTATTCTCCTTTGTATTATTGTGAGTATTTATATATATATACATCATGTATTCTCCTTGTATTATTGTGAGTAGTTATATATATATACATCATGTATTCTCCTTGTATTATTGTGAGTATTATATATATATATCATGTATTCTCCTTGTATTATTGTGAGTAGTTATATATATACATCATGTATTCTCCTTGTATTATTGTGAGTATTATATATATACATCATATACATATGTATTCTCCTTTGTATTATTGTATATATATATATATATCATGTATTCTCCTTGTATTATTGTGAGTATTTTATATATATATATCATGTATTCTCCTTGTATTATTGTGAGTATTTATATATACATCATGTATTCTCCTTGTATTATTGTGAGTAGTATATATATATATATCATGTATTCTCCTTGTATTATTGTGAGTATTTATATATATATATCATGTATTCTCCTTGTATTATTGTGAGTAGTTATATATATACATCATGTATTCCTCCTTGTATTATTGTGAGTATTTATATATATATATATCATGTATTCTCCTTGTATTATTGTGAGTAGTTATATATATATATCATGTATTCTCCTTGTATTATTGTGAGTATTTATATATATACATATATCATGTATTCTCATTGTATTATTGTGAGTAGTTATATATATATATATCATGTATTCTCCTTGTATTATTGTGAGTAGTTATATATATACATCATGTATTCTCCTTGTATTATTGTGAGTAGTTATATATATACATCATGTATTCTCCTTGTATTATTGTGAGTAGTTATATATATACATCATGTATTCTCCTTGTATTATTGTGAGTATTTATATATATATATCATGTATTCTCCTTGTATTATTGTGAGTATTTATATATATATATATATCATGTATTCTCCTTGTGTTATTGTGAGTATTTATATATATCTCATGTATTCTCCTTGTATGTGGGCCGGAGGCCTTAAATACAATAAACACTTTGACTTTGACATTACACGCGTATTAAATACTAGTAAGTATGCCTTCGTGGTGTAAGCCGTTTAATCACCCTCACTACGGTAGTTTATTTAATAACTACCTTGTAAGGGTGATTAACCTATACTTATCCCAAACCACATTTTATTAAATATATTTTTTCAGTTTCTATCAAAATTGACGTGGATATTGAGAAACCTTCTTGGTAAATATTTGTTATTTGCCCTGTAATATTGTCCTGATAGAGAACAATTAATGATTTATTAAAAACAAAACGCCCTCGGCATTAGAGAAGCGACATGTACTTCTTTTGTGAAATATCAAGTGTGTCGACGTTCTACGACCAGGGCGTTCTGCTCTGGATAAACAAAGAAAAAACATGCGGAAGTGGCTGTAAGTAGTCTGTTACGTTGCCAAAGGGAACGTCAGATCACCTGGAAAGATGAGAATGGTGGTGATGTGCCACGGTTAGATGGTTACATACAGATATGTAGATATCCAGAAGTTCAAAAGCTATTCAGTGGGATTGTGTAATTAAGAGCGAATGAGTTTAGTTTAGTTTAACGCCGCTTTTTAGCAATATTCCAGCAATATCACAGTGAGGGACACGAGAAAAGGGCTTCACACATTGTACCCATGTGCGGAATCGAACCCGGGTCTTCGGTGAGGTGAGGTGAAAATGGGGTTAAACGTCGTACTTAAGATTATTTTTTTTTATAAATGACGATGTGCATGCGTGTGTGTGTGGCTGCTTGTACTAGCCCAGACTGTTTTTTTTAGTGCTTGCTCACTGAGATACAATGCCGCAGTTAAGCATGAATACTGACACATTATACTGACTCCGAGCCGACCAGGCCTTGTTGTACCCATTAAGGCAGAGACCAACAAGTACCATATTTGAACGTCTTTTGGTTGTCTTCTGAGTGATGAGCGAACGCTTTAACGCCTACCGTGAATGATCTAGTTCCTCGATCAGTGGATTGCCGTTTCAAGGACCCCGGAGTGGACCTGAGGAGAGAATATCTCTCACGGATCTGTAACTTATAACACGTTTGTGTGCTGGTTGGTTTGTTGTTAAAAGTCGAATTCAGCAATGTTCCGGCGATATGACGGTGGTCTTGAAACTATCGAGTTTGGACCGGACCATCCAGTGATTGGCATCACGAGCACCGATCTACGTTTCTGGGATACGACGACATGAATCTACCATGTCAGCGAACTTAACTGTCCCATCCCTGTAGTTGCCTCCTACGACAAGCTGAAGGGGTTTGACACATGGCGTATCCGGTCGAATAAGGAGATCTTCCCGTTAGTGAGTTGATCACTGCCTAATTAAGTGTCATCCTTGTCTGATCCCGGAACTGTACTCTAGCGCCACAATAATGTACGTAATCTTTTATAAATGGTAGACAACCAAAAACAAGTTGACAAGCCTATGTTTAATATGATCTGTCGTAGTTCAACACGAACCCATCCCGCTGTGGGTAGATCCGGGTTAGAATTGATCTTGTCGAAGAGGCGAATACCGGGATCGCTTGGTCTGTCTCGCTGACTTGGTTGTCACATCGTATCCCATTTGCGTTGAACGATGCTCATGATGTTGACCACTGGATTGTCTTGTCCAGACACTAAACTCACTCACTCACTGTGGGTGTTTTCTATTTCGATCTGTATTGTATGGAAATTGTGAACATCCATAAACCTCTAGAGCACAGTGCGAGATGTAAGAACGTTTGTGTATGGTTGTCAAACTCTATAATCGAATGAATGCATTATTGTCAATCATGAAATGAGGACTGCGAAAAGTATTATTTCAATAGCTATTCACAACGTAGTATGGTCTTTGGGGGCCGAGCAAAATTACCTTCAGAGTTGTGCAAGCTTCAGTGGCGGCGAGTAACGTGATCCACACGAGTGAATTGGGTTTATCACTGCTTTGACTATTCTAGTTTTGCCAGGCCGTGTTAGCGGGACTGGTAGAAAGCCTGATATGATGCAGGCGTCAGACTTTACCATTTTGTGAAACCCATGAACGCCGGCATGGTTGTGACAAACCAAGGAACGTATTAAGGCGACTCGGTATTCGAACCGTAGGGTTCTAACGTGCCAAAGGGACGCAACTTTAACAACGGTGCCTATGCTGATCTACCCATTAAGAGCTCATTCTCGGTTTCATTGTAGGTTGCTTGTTCTATTTAATGCCAGACAAAAAGAAGGCCTTTACAAGAAAAAGGTTTTTACAGAATATGTAAAAATGATTGCATTGAAGATGAATATCGTTTTTGTACTTGACTGGGATGTAGGGTGTCTACTGCACCTAACCTAGCGACGACCAGGCTTTGATATACTTTGAATAAAACTCGGGGGATATCTACAATCAGTTAACAAAAGAAACACGCAATGTAAAAGAGAGCTTGAAGACACTTGAAGATTTGGAGATGAACGTTTGCGATAC